CGGATGCCATATGCCCCAGAAGCCTCTGAAAGAACTTCAGTGGGACCACTAGTTTGCTGTCGAGCTCTCTCAGACAGTTCAGCAACAGGCGAGCGCGTTCCTCGGAGAGGTGCGCTACCATGGTGATCGAGTCCAGCTCCATCCCGAGAAAAGAGATCCTCTGCACGGGGCGAGTTTGATCATTTCTCGGTTGACCTAAAGCCCCAGTAGGCGGAGATGCCGAAGCACCTTGTCCCTGTGCATAATTAATTGCTCCCGCGAGTGGGCTAAAATCAGCCAGTCGTCGAGATAATTGAGTATGCGGATGCCCGAGAGCCGAAGGGGTGCTAAGGCACCCTCCGAGAGTTTGGTGAAGACCCGGGGAGACAGAGAGAGCCCGAAGGGGGGGACCTTGTACTGCCACGCTCGACCCTCGAACGCAAACCGCAGAAATTGGCGGTGGCGTGGAAGAATGGAGACATGGAAATAGATCCTTCTGGTCTATGGCTGCAAACCAATCCCGAGGACGAACGCATTGGAGAATGCGCCTCTGCGTGAGCATTCTGAACGGCAGCTTGTGCAGACAGCGGTTCAAAACACGCAGATCTAGGATTGGTCGTGACCCACCGCTCTTTTTGGGTACGATGAATTATGGGCTGTAAAACCCACTCTCCATCTCGGCTGGAGTGCCTTCTTTCGAGGTGTACGCCGCGCTCCTCGGCGAGGAGCAGCGGAGATGGATGACTCGGCGGGCGGAGCGGGCTTGCGGCCACGCCGATAGATGACATTGCCCATCGCATCCGACTGCTCTTTCACCGCCTTGAATTCCTGGGTGAATTCACAGACGGTGTCGCCGAGCAGGCCAGCCTGGGATATAGGCCAGTCAAGAAAGCAAACTTTGTCAATATCGCACATATCAGCCAGGTTTAGCCAGAGGTGGCGTTCCTGAACCACAAGCGTGGACATCGTCCTCCCCAGCGCACACGCGGCGGACTTAGTAGTCCGAAGAGCATAGTCGGTCGTGGTGTGCAGCTCATGTAGTAAGCCTGGGTTAGACCCGCCCTTGTGCAGCTCGACCAGCGCCAGCGCTTGGTAGCGCTGGTAGGTGGCCATCGCGTGCAAAGCAGAAGCAGCCTGGCCCGCGGCCTTATAAGCTCTGGCTCAGAGGGAGGCAGACAACCTACAGGCTTTGGACGGGAGGCGGGGCAAACCCCGCCACGTAGAGGCGCCACACGGACAAAGATTGACCGCGATAGCGCGCTCCACTGTCGGGATCGCCTCATACCCCCTGGCAGCTCCACCGTCAAGGGCGTCGAGGGCGGAGGGACACGCAGCACGAGCAGAGAAAGGTGCACTCCAAGACTGCGTGAGCCTACTGTGCACGGCTAACATTTCCGCTTCAGAATCCGATTTGACGGCGCTCACCTGCCCGGAGGGGGTGAGCGGGTCAGGATCTTCGTCGGACAGTGACAGCCCACCCTCCGATGGCGCGGAGGACATCTGATCTCCGGTGTCAGCAAGCGTGAGAGCTACCATCTGTTTAGATTGATCACTCCCACTGCCCGAAGCTTGGATGGAGCGCTGTGAGGAGCGAGAAGTCCGCGAGCCCTTGGGCGGCGGATTATCTCCCACTGGAACCCTCAGATCTGCCTGAACGCCCGCTGCTTTTTTAGAACAGGAGGCAACTGGGGTGGCTCGCTCTCTTACAAAAGTTAGCCGCGATCGTACCTGTGCAACGGTCATGGCATCGCAATGACGACATGTACCGCCCGCGAGCATCGCATTAACATCCTGGACCCCCAAACATGCAATGCAGTGATCGTGTCCATCATCCGGAGCCAGGAAACCCCCGCATCCAGAAACGCACAGTCGGAGCGCCATCCTGAAAAGGACATGCTGCACGACTGTGTTGCTCTTTAAGGAAAGCTTAGCAACAATACGCACCACTCTGGAGGACTGGACCCAAAGAACCGCAGGCAAGGGAGAAACCCAGCTCGACCATCTATCGCCGCAAAAACCCACTCTGGACCGGGAGACACTCGTTCGCTCTGAAGTGCTGAATTAGCAAGAGGAACCCTCATCGACTCACTCAGAAAGGATCTGAAGCGAAAAGGATGCCGTTTGCTCGCTCCAGGTGTGCTTATATGCTGGGATAATTGGCAATGCAGCACACCTGCACAAGCTTACACTGCCAATTTATTTCATTCATTGGCCCGTTCAATACTCTTCAGACAAGCGGCTTCTGATCCGAATCCTCCCATACGTGGATTTTCACAAGATCAAATCCACTGTATAGCACTGAAGTTCCCCAACCGAAGGGGAACTAAAGGCGCCTGAGTTTGTTTTTAGATGAGAGTAGGCTTTTTGAGAGAGAAAGCTTTTTGAAAACCTTTTCAAATCCATTAAAATTATTTGTGGTGATTTTAATGCTGTTTTGTTTTTGTTTTTTTGTAGTTTTTTTTTTGTTGTTGATTTTTTTTGTAGTTTTGGATGTAGTCATTTTTGGAGATTATTCATTCAATTCATTCAGTATGTAAAATGTCTCAATTCAGAGTTATCAACAGTGTTATACAGTGGGATAACCACAAATTTATTCACATATATGACTTTTTTAACACAGCTCTAGTTGACATCATGAACATTGGAAGTCCACATATGGCCACTTCTCATGGTAGAGAGCAAGAGCACAACCATCAACACACTTCACTAATAGGGAAGTCACTAAGTCACTAAGGTTTATTACAATTCTAGCTGACTGCAAGTTTTTTCTTTATTATTACTATTTGTTTTGTCCTGATGATAGAGATGGGCATTTTCAGTGTTTTTGTTATTTTCCTTTGCAGTCTTTCTTTTACTAGCTTTTACTGGAGAGCTCTGTTCGTTTGCTTTTACCCCCATTGTGATGAATCACTGACTGAGTTTGGCCTCATATTTATAGCCCTGTAAAACAGGAGGTCATGGTTGAAAAATATCTGGTTCTTAGTCACCCAGGTGTACTAAAATAAGGTAATATGTAATATTGCTCATAAAACAATCATAGGGCTTCTAATAATTGTGGCAAACATTTTTTATTTTATTTAATAAAAAGACGCCTGGGGTTGGCGCAGTGGGTAGCGCTGTCGCCTCACAGAAGGTCGTTGGTTTGAGCCTCAACTAGGTCAGTTGACATTTCTGTGTGGAGTTTGCATGTTCTCCCCGTGTTCGCGTGAGTGTCCTCCGGGTGCTCCGATTTCACCCACAGTCCAAAGACATGCGCTAGAGGTGGACTGGGTAAGCTAAATTGTTTGTAGTGTATGTGTGAAAATGAGTGTTTATAGTTGTTTCCTAGTAATGGATTGCAGCTGGAAGGTCATCGCTGTGTAAAACATATGCTGGATAAGTTGGAGGTTCATTCAGCTGTGGCAACCCCTGATTAATCAATGAACTAAGCCAAAATGAAAATGAATAAATGAATGAATGAATGAATGAATGAATGAATGAATGAATGAATGAATGAATGAATGAATGAATGAATGGAAAAAAAAACATATTTCAATCATTTGTTCTCAATGAGAAAAGAGATGCTTAATTTAATATATAAGCAAAACATCAAAGGGTTAAACAAAGGTTTTTTCACAGTCTTCATTTCTCATATTTAAGAAGGGTGCTAATATTAGAGGAGGCCACTTTTTATGTTAAGTCAGGATACACATGGAGAGAAAGAATAAAAGAGAGAAATTAATACTATATCATTTTTAATGATGATATTTTTTTCCCCCTTTTTTTCTATTACTGACTATTGGCAGTCTAAAAGTACATGTCACCTCTTTAATCAAAGAAAATCTAAATGTAAATGAGTGTTTTCACTCAGTGTTTATTTTCTGTCTGAGACACAGCAGTTTCTGGGCTTTTCATCTTCTCAGACTATGAAATGCTAATGAGCATGAGGAAATCTGGAGTCAGGCATAGACGCCGGTGACAGAAATAATAATAGGTGTCTGGGATCTGTTATGGCAGCACAGCATGAGGGTCAAGACTGAGTTTACATCACTGTCCACTGCAGTTTACATGATGAATCTGTTATATATACAACATCATTCGGTCATTCATTTATTCTCCATAGGATTGGTCCCTTTATTTATCAGGGGTTGCCACAGCGGAATGAACCACCAACTTATCCAGCATATGTTTTACGCAGTGGATGCCCTTCTAGCCACAACCCATTACAGGGAAACACTCAAACACTCTCATTCACACACATACACTACAGACAATTTAGCTTATTCAATTCACCTATTCCGCATATATTTGGACACCTATACCGCATATCCAGAGCACCCCGAAAAACTCACGCAAACATGAAAAGAACATACAAACTCCACAAAGAAACGCCAACTGACCCAACCGGTGCTCAAACCAGGAACCTTCTTGCTAAGGGCGACAGTGCTAACCACTGAGCCACCGTGCCACCCATTAAATATCATATAAAAGACAATTTTTTTCACAGCCTATTTTACTTATTAGCAAGGTTTCAAAACTAGTGAAGGGCACTGTAGTAGTTTTTGATGCAGAGAAAATCGAAAGTTTACAGACTTGATTATTCATTAACATTTTGTTGGTAGAAGATCATAGAAATATAGTTCAGTAATGTCACAGAAGAGATATATCAGCCCTCAGGGATTTATCAGCGGTGTAAAAGAGATGAAAATAGAGACAGATTAAATCACACCACTATTAATCACCACCTCTGAAATGATGATCCCACAGCTCTTTGGAAAGGTGCCAGTCTTTGATTAATTAAAGGATAAAGACTGCACACACTGCTGTTAGTTGCACATGACAGCTGGAGAAATCTACATCTGACCTGCAAGATCAAATTCAGCAGCGTGGAAAGTGTTTATCTTTTTTAAGAGTCAGAAGAATTTTATAATATTAGGCTTTAAGTTAGCTGATGTGCATTTGATTACAGTTGTGTGTGTGTGTGCGTGTATGAATTCGATTTGCTGAGAATTGTAAACATTACACACTGTCCTCGAACTCACCACTTCAGGTAGAAGTTTGGTGGCCAGATCATGGATGGCTTTCCCCAAAATACACAGAGATGATAAGATGAAGATCACTCCCAGTATCACACATGCTCTGTGGGTGAAGAAAAGCAGAAAACGTGTAAACCTAATGCAGTTTGTTTATTTAATGTTTTGATTATCTGATGTGATGATCAAAAAATCTAAAAAAAAAAAAAAGTAGTGCTGTATTTATACCACAGAAGCCGGTAGTGTTTGCTTTGCTCTGGCTTTTTTGTGGTTAATTATTGTAAAATCCTGATTGCAACAGAGAAAATTCTGCAGATTGATGGCATTTCATGCCGTTCAGCCTTATAATCTTAAAATGTGAGCAAAAATGACCAGTTTTGTCATGACTTTAGACATTATGCAGGAGAATCATTCAAATACTAGCTCTAAAGTGATGTTTGTGAACTGACAACGGTTTCTGCTGTCCTGACGATCAGCTGCAGATGTGAATGAATGGCGGAAGAAAGCAGTTCCTCTTGCAAAAGAATTATTGAGAGTTTCTGTGTTTTATTTTCTTTTTTATACACATGTTTATGCCGTCAAACTGTTGTATAAACACAACTTGTAGCAGTGCGATATGGCTGTGAATCGACGATAGGGTGGGGGCACAAAGGCCTGTGGCCTCAAGCCAAGACACGCCTCCCAACAGATGTAGAGCCATATCGCACTGCTACTCGTGTGATATTGTGTATACACAAAATATATATAATCAAAGCTACTCAATACTGTATATTTGTGTTGCTGATATGGGATAAAGGTTGAAAAAAATGACAGTGCTTTGGTTTTTAAAATAATCCTACAAAAACCAACTGTATGTGAAAACTGCTTACAATACACCTTCAGATTCTCTGTGACAAGTGGTTACTGCTACAAGACTTGCAATTCCTCTCCAGTATTGCACTATAAATCTACCTTTCTGACACGTCGACCAGAGAAATGAGATTCACAAGCCCCCACAGACTGAGGATGAATCCAACAGCACAAGCCTTTATCATTGTAATACGTCTCAAATTGAGACAGCCAAGGTGAATGCCAGAAACAAGGCAGATCACTAAATCCAACTTGATCAGACTTAGGGCAAGAGCCTGCAGTTAAACAGGCAGAAAATTTATATTTGGCTAATACTTATCACTATTCCTCCACAATTGATTCATTACATTTAGATGATAAAAAAATGTAAAAGAAAATAAATCTGTTTATTTTGTATGTTTATTTTATTTTGTGTAAATTATATTTGTAAAACAGTCCAATCTTCTGAAAAAAAAAATTAAAATATTTTCAGAAAAGTTCCTTTTCCTATGAAAAAAGTATGATTTTAAAAGCATGTCCAGGCATGGCCACAAACTCCACCTCTAAAGCAATCCCTCAATGGGGGGATGAGCAAATCTTAGTAAAATATACAAATGAGACTATACAAATGAATACAAATTAGCCACTAAATCCAAAATTTTATTTTAAAAAAATTACATTGAGATTGTGTTGGTTTAAATAAACAAATAATGCATCATTTAATTACACATGCACCTATTGGCATACATTTTATAGCAATAACATTTTGAATACTGGATAATGTCAAGCTCAGAACTGACACATTACAGATCTAAAAGTTTTTATCACTCCATAATACTTTGAATACCTAGAAAATATATTCACTTTATTCAATAAATTAAGCTTAAGCTGAGATTTATGGCTGAGTATAGAAGAAAAAAAACTCATTTTGAGAATGCAACCTTTAAAATATGCATTGTAATTGAACTCAGCAGATGCAAATTGATAATGCTTGACAAAAAAGTCAAAAGTGTATTTTAGATGTTTTCTTAACATTAGAATGAAAAAAAAAAACACATTTGTAAAAAATCTCAAAACTGACATGTGCATGAAAAAAACAGTGTTGTTTTTGCCTGCAGTGTTTTGCCATACAAAATGTGAATTTAGTTGAAAGTGACGAGAATGTTTTGAGATGTTCTTCCACAGTCCCAAATGTACCAAGAGCTCAGACAGTGATGTCTTGAGTGATATTTTAATATGTTGACAATGTGTTGGTCACAAAGGTAGCATTGTTCATCATTTGAGTGATTCGCTACAGGTTTGTGTGGCAAGCAGTGGCCTATATAGCGGAGACAGCTTTTCTTTGTTTACTCACATGTATTCTCTATGGGCCGAGTGCACTGCTGCAGCGTTGCTGTAGCGCCACAGCACTATAATGGAGGAAAGCACATCTAACGTCGCATCAAACTGAAAAACAACAGTGACTCTTTAGTGCTTCACCATCATTAATGCATGTTCTACAGATGTTTATTACACTGTTAAATAGCATTCAGCCCAATGACATATAATTCCACAAAAAACATTTAATTAATTCCAGCATTAATGTAAGTCTGAACTCATAGACTGATAATGAAATAACATTTATTTTTCAAGACAAAAATATCCGTTTGTAATAAGACTGAAGATTATACTTACAGCAAATCCAAATGCTGAAGCACTGTGTCTCATGAAGGATACAGCTAGAAGAAGAAATAAAGAGAAAGACTGTAAGTCACAATTTTTGGGAATGTTTCTTTATTGAAAATACTATGAACATATTATATTATATTATATTATATTATATTATATTATATTATATTATATTATATTATATTATATTATATTATATTATATTATATTATATTATATTATATGTAGGGCTGTCAAAATTAGTGCATTAATGCATGCGATTAATTTGAAATAATTAACGCGTAAAAAAAATTTACGCAATTAATGCAGTTGAAAAGCACTCTTTGAAGGTAAGTTTCAAAACAATTAATGTAGCATCAGCAGGCTCTCCAGAGTTTCATGCAATTTCAGGTGTTTCATTTTTAACTTTCGACTTCTGTTTTAATGTAATTTGATACCGCATGGCGAACGGAAAGAAAAACCTCTGCATTTTGTGACTCGGTGGTCATTTAAGGTAATCAAAAATCACTGCTTACATGGTCGACTCTTAATGAGAGCATTATCTAAATCATATTAAAATCGGAGTATTGATGTCTTAAGTAAATGTACTCAGAAAGTGTCGAGCTGCCAAAGACAGCGCATTCCAATGCCTTTCAGCATGAGCCCTCCATGTTTCATTACGTTTGACGTGTTTCCTCCTTAAACACAACAAAAGCGTATGCTTCGCATTGTTGTGTCAGAATCCTTGTGAAATACAGTCATACTTTAGAACGCTTAGTTTAAGCAAATTTGATGAACGCGATCACGCGTGTTAAATCTGAAGGGAGTCGCTCCAGCTGTGCTCTGAAATTGCGCGCATTGTGTGTGTGTGTCTGTCTGTCATTGTGTGTGTCTGTGTCAGGCCTGTGTAAGAGCACAGGGGCAGGTGCTCAACACAATCGCAGAGTGAAGAGCAAGTGCCTCCTGAGAGGGGCACCTCAGCCAATGAGGGCAGAGGGGCAGTGGCTCTGACCACCAGACCACCCCGCTGTGCACGGCCCTGGTCTGTGTGTGTGTGTGTGTGTGTGTGTGTGTGTGTGTGTGTGTGTGTGTGTGTGTGTGTATGTGTGTCTGTGTGTGCGTTTCTTAGCAACAAACCTGCCTAAACGTCATTGTCCGTAGCCACTAAATCAAAAAGTTACAAATTGTCTTGAGATTGCGTTGCACTCTCAGCTCACATCATTCAAAAGAAAAGGGCCACATTGTCCTCCGATAATGTCAACAGACTGGACTGTCTAAGCAACTGGATAATTGTAAAGGAGGACTAAGAAAATTGTCTCTACTTTATAATTAATGTTCTCAGCTCACAGCAATGCAACTTTACAATGAGTACAATTGTTTGTATTAAATACTTTATTATTATTATTATTTTTTTATATTATTATTATTATTATTATCCATTTTCCATATCTGTAATGCCTGTATTTTGGCATTTTTTTGCAGTCCACTTAGAATTTAACTTGGAAATCAATGGTTTCTTTATTGGCATCGATTGAAATTGAAATTCAAATGACATTAACATGCTTGTGTTTTAATTTCTGTAGTAAATATGGCTGTCAAGCAGGATCTTGATGGTTTATTGTGGGTATGTTGTTTACATGAAGAAATCTGTTTTACAAGTTAAACAAAAATTCTAATAAACAACTATATTTTGAATATAAATAGTTTTTGTCTTGCGTTTACATTTATTTTACATTTGAATAGCCAACATTACAAGTTTCAGTCTTTTAAATGTGATTAATCGTGATTAATAAAAAATAATTCTCTAATTATATTATATTATATTATATTATATTATATTATATTATATTATATTATATTATATTATATTATATTATATTATATTATATTATATTATATTATATTATAATATTATGTTATATTACCACATGAGAGAGATTAAATGATGAGGTCATTTCCATTTTTGATTTAAACTATTGGTTTATTGACAGAGACTTTAAATTTTGGGCGAACTAACCCTTTAATAATTGCTATCAAGATGTGAAGAGACTTTCAACTAGCATAACAAAAACAGTCAACACAGGTAAAAAAATAAATAGCTTTTGGCAAGGCTAGTGAGAGGCTTGTTACCATAGTGAAACACCACTGAGAAGGCATGTTCACAAAACAACAGGTCATTTACAAAACAGCCCTCATTGTACGATGTCTGCCACTGTTAACAGGTAAAAGTATAGCTGTCAAAATCTCTTGTTACGTTTATTAGAATCAGACTGCAGAGTCGACCCACTCCTTAGTTTGCATCTATTAAATGTGAATGGAAAAAGGCTGCCCGCTGTGTTTTTTTTTTTTTTTTTGACAAAGCTCTGTGACTGCAGAGATGTGAGACGTGAGCCTGCATTTGTGCGCCTCTATTTGCTGCCTCCTCTTGAGTGGAGATCTCTCACTGTTTCATTGATCTCTAACTTTAAAGACAGACTCGAGCAGCACGTGTCATAGCAACAGAGCGGTGCACTCTGCTCCATGTCTAACAATGCCCTTGAAACACAGTCCTTATCCAAACCTGTTGCTGAAACATGGAGAGTTTTAACTCTCTTCGGCTATGTGTTGAAAAATAGCATGCGATGTATTCAGTGGAGTGCTTTGGCACTAGCATTGTGGTCAGTACAAATGCTACTGAGTGATGAGACCAGGCCGAGGGTCAACTGTGGCCAAGATTGTGTTTTCTAACTCTTGATCAATACAGATTTCAAGACTGCAAGAAAAACAATATATCTCTAAAAATTGCTTCTTTTCTTCAGCAAAACACTAAAGAAGATTTTTAGCTGAAACTGAGATCCTTGGCAATTCAAATACTGCAAGTCAACAGCTCCAGGCACTTTGGGAGTCAAGAACACACATATTTGTAAGCTATTATGATAATATTATATCCTTTAATTCACAGTCTCAGTGAAAAGCTCTGAGCTATTGTCAGTAGTCATAAGCATTAGGGCTGTTGAATATTTCATTTCAGCATTGATATCGCAATGTGTGAATCCGTGTATGCTGGATTGAGTCTGGATTGTAGTTGATCAGACACAGTTCAGAACACATGAGATTTGTGGAGTCACTGCAGAGTTTAACCATAACAGAGCAAAAGTTCATCATTTGCATGTTTTTCAAGCCTTTTTGACTACAAAAATTTCAGGAGTTGCAAGAAATGCTTTGTAATGTCAATAAAGATTTTAAAATATACATATTTATGCAATTAATTGTATATTATTTATGTTGTTATTTCATGTTTGAATGTTACATTTATGTCTTTGAATACTGAAAAGATTCCCAGAAAAACATAAAGCACTGTTTATTCCAGGTTTATCTTTGCTCTGTTGTATTTATAAATGCTTGTAATTTAATACTAATTAATTTGTTTAAATTTAATACTAAGTAATTAAAAAAATTTTGATCACCTCAATAAATCTTAATTTATGAAACATTTCAAAACAGAGCTATTCAAATAATTTTGTGAAATGATATTCAAATCGCAATTTATGTTGCAGAAAAACAAAATAAACATATCTTCTTCGAAGCCCTAATCAAAAGAAAAGTCAACGTAAATGGCCTGATGCTGGGTAAATTAACAGTACATTTTCAGATTGGGTTAACTGTAATGTGAAGTGGGTGCAGACGAAGGGGTGTGGATCCAAAAGCAGGTTTATTTAGCAGAATGGTCAGGCAAGCAACAGTCAATACAACAGCAAACAGACGTATAAGGGCAATTCCAGAGTCGTGGTCATATAACAAGGAGATTGTCAAAAGGCAGGCAGCAGACAGGGTAAAACAAACAAAATAAAGCAAGGTTCAAAAACATGGAAGGCAAAACAAGGAAACCACATTGTAATGTTCACAAACAGTAAGACTCAGCAATGAGAGTCTCAAAGTTAGCCGTATATATGTGTGGTGTAATCAGTCCATGAGCATGTATCAACTGTGGGAGTATAATCAATGGAGACTTGGAGCAGGTGTGTGTGTGTGTGTGTATGTTGCATGATCTTGTAGTCCATATGCACCTTATTCTCCGTGTATGAGCAGGTGCAGCCATTTGAATCTTTTAGACTTAAGACTTCCGGTCTCATTTATTTCCATTCACTTTTAGACGTTAAAAACAGCTTGTTATGCTGCTTGATGTTGCAAACTGATTTTTTCTTATTTTATTATATTGTCTATATAATCATGCAAACACTTGTTTGTAGAGCAAGCAGCTTGACTGTTTTCTGCCGTTTATTATTATTAGTCATTTCTCCCATAGGCGACTGAATTGGAAGTTCTAAAACAATTGCGAAAATGGGCTCACTTCCACATTGAAGAATAAGGTCAATACCAGCGGATTGGTCGTTCTCCAGCAATCTGCATGGGCAAGATCGCTAGTGACTGTGACATTAACTGTCTCTTTAAGAACTTTAAAAACCCCCCCAGTCCATAAAAATCAAGCCAATTCACCTTGATTTACCAGCTTGATTTACAAGCCAATTCACCTACCCCATTCAATGGCACTTTATACTAGCTTGCAAATTGTGCTAAAGCATAAACATGCAAAGAAATAGTTAACTGCAAAGTTTAATCAGTTTGAAACAAGAACATCAAGTTCAGAACATTAAGCATTTTCAGAAAGTTGTTTTTCACGTTTAATTAGTTCTGTCAAGATTTAGTTCAGTTCATGCAAATGTCCATTTTTAGGGCACTTGTTGAAATACACATTCATTCATTCATTCATTTTCTTTTTGGCTTAGTCACTTTATTAATCTGGGGTCACCACAGCGGAATGCCAACGTATCCAGCATATGTTTTACGCAGCGGATGCCATTCCAGCTGCAACCCATCACTGGAAAACATCTAAGCACTCTCTATCCCACACATACAATACAGCCATTTCAGCTTACCCAATACACCTATAGCACATGTCTTTTGGACTTATGGGGGAAACCGGAGCACCCGGAGGAGTCCCACACCAACACGAGGAGAACATGCAAACTCCATACAGAAATGCCAGACGAGGCTCGAACCAGCGACCTTCTTGCTGTGAGGTGACCCTACC